GTGCCCCCCCCCCCCCCCCCAGTTTTAAGTACATCCCTAGTTCTGGGTTTTTTGACCCTACTGTTACTTTAACAGCATTCTTCAAAGGCCAAAGTGGATTAAAAAAATGGTGAGATATGATTATCTTCTTTTTTTAACTAATGATCTATCCTCTGCTTAGTGACACATTCATTTTTCTCATATAATCTTGTATTCAAAATTGCCCTCTCTTTTCTAAATGTACCTTCTTCAGAAATCTTCACTCATTGTAGCTCAACTACCAGTATAGCATCCCTCTTCCAAGGGCCCAACAACAGATAAATCAATTTAATCTTCTGTTTTGAGCTCTGAGCTAGTATTTTCAAAGTATTTTATTGCATGTTTCCAAGTATTGCACAGTTTGAAAGGAAGGAACAAGCAAGATGTTGGGACCAGTAACAGACATCACAAAGCAACAGAATATGCCCAGAAGCACAGCAGAAGATACTCATTTTAAAAGAAAAAAAGGAGTGAGAAGTGGAGAGGTGAAAGAACACTGTAGTTCTTTCATACAAAAGGTAACAGTGGAAACAGTTTCCCCATACAATATCACAGTTTTCCCAGAAGGGACAGGTAAAACCTGTTAACAGTAACTGCTGATAAAGAAAGAAGACATTAATAGTGCATACACATGCAATTCCTCTATCTCATTCATGTCTCATGGATGGACATGTGAGTAGAAAGCCTGCTCAGAGAACACACAGAAATGGTGAACAAACGTGTGCAAAAGACTACAAATCTTTTTTTGTCATGGAAATGTCAGGAATGGGAAATGCACAATAAGTAAGGAAGTGCAAAGATCACTCTATTAAGACGTACACAACATGCACAGCATATCAAATTTATTTCTGCCCATGGGACTCTCTCATGTGACGAATTGCAGTAATGATAAAGGCTTAACTCTCTCATTTCTGTGAAGAGAAGTACACAGGAGAGTCTCAAAACAGTTATTGACTAAACAGATAAAGCACACGGTGGGAGAGGGAGCAGAAGAGGAGTGGCAACAAGACTGCATGGCGCTGAACTACTGCTCAGGTTCAGATACATAATCCAACTAAAGAGGCTGAAAAGCTGGGCCCCATCCTGGGCTCCAGATCAAAGTGAGGTGCAGAATATTTGTTAGCAATAAGAATACACAGAAACGCACAACTTGGAAGTCTCAGCTTGCCCTTGATTTTAACGTGGACAGACGAAAAACAATTAAGTATTAAGCAATTTTTTCCAGCATGTTCAAGATTAATAATCTACTTGTACGTGTTTTTTTTTTTAAAAGGTTACACTGTGTTGTGTTCAGTTCAAAATTACCTAAATAACTGGTGTTTTGAAATGTTTCTGTGCATACACAGCTTCACAGTTCTTGCTGAGATGGGAGAAAAACAATAAAAAAATTTTTTCAAGCACTTCATGCATACTGTAGAATTACCATGACTCCTGCCCTGAAACACCAGAGTCTTACTCAGCCTACTTCTAAACCTCTAGAATTTTATTAGATATGCCCATGTTTAAAGTGTGGTTATATAGATTATAAGACTAGTCTTTTTTTTTATCATCACGGGCAGACATCTTCTTCCCAGACTGTTTGGTCAGGACTCAGGACGACCAAGTTTGAAGGCCTAACAAACAGCCTAGTGATAGTTTCTTACAAGCCAAGAGAGCTTTTTCTACAGCACAAGTTATCAGCAATCCACTGTGTAATACCTGTTACTTACAAAAAAACCTGCATCATCTGCAAGGCCTCCACTCCCTAGACAAGGAAAGCTTCTGTCTCCAGAGGAACACTGTACTGGAGACAGCAGTGTAAACAACTATTCGCAGCTCAGTCACTATTGTCCTTGGCTATCTCTCCGGCAGGGTCACCATGACAGAGGGCCTACTCTGCTACTTCTAGGGAATAGAGCACTTCCATGCTATACCTACAAAGCTGTAGGTGTACCTACATATCATTAAGAAATTACCCTGGTTTTAATGTGCTAGATATATTCACAGATCTTAATTCTCAAAACAGAGAAGGATTTTGGTTGTCCAAACTTAAGAGAGTTAATATTTAGTAACACTTGGTACACTGCTGAGTTTTCTAAAGCTCAAACTATTTCTTGACAGGCCTCACTTGCCCACCCATCTTTATCCTCAACAAATTGCTATTGACATCTGAATTCCGTAACACCGCAAAAGTGTAATGCGCATTTTTGTCTTCATATGATCACCTTTTAGAATTGGCAAAGTACACCAGAAACTGCTTATCAGCTTCATGACAATCACAGTTTTGTCTCACTCACAGCATTCTGCCTCTATGAAATCTCTGGGTTCCATAATTATCCATCTTTGGTTGAATGACTTAGCATTAAGACAGACCTTCCTCATGCTGGCCTAACAACCACAGGAAACAAGTGCTTATACAACGGAATTACAATTTAATATAGAACAAGCTAAGTGCCTATCAATTAATATGTAAATATACACTTGTAATTAATTATGTAATATGAAGAGAACAGTTACAAGACAAACTTACATCACTTTTATTTAAGAAAGAGTTCTGAGAAACAGTATATTTTCACTTGTGATTATATTCTTTCTGAGTAACAGAAATATTCTTCTGATTTATTATACTATACCTAAAGACTTCTCTTCATCTGTGCAAATGAAGCACTGAGAACCTGAAGAGTTCCTACACATTACAACATGGCTGATACTAATACAACCCAGTTTCTCAACTTAAATCTGATAATTATGGCCCTCCAATTTCCAAATAAGTATCAAGTAAGTGTATAATAAGTATCATCTGACATGCTGTGGAAAATTCAGAATAGTTTTCTACTCTTCAAGGGAATATTGAATAGAACAGACCTCCACATTGATTGGCTACTTAAGAACATGGCAAATCAACTGAACTACCTACCTGCCAGCTACTTTAAGTATTCAGATTGATAAAATGCATGCAACTCCTGCCTACTTAAAGTACCATGCTTGAAAAGAAAAAAGCTTCCATTTCATCCCTCCAATTCAAATATAAATCCTTAACTAGCACAAAAGTACTGCATCAGCAAAACAGAAAAGCAGACAGTTCCTTCTACAGATGAATGTGTTTTACTTTCAGCTCTTCTTTGTACTCCAGTTTATTTTTAGTTGCAGTTATGACAACAAACAGTGAATATCTGAGTATGGTGTATCATTATATAGGACAAAGTGTCTAAGAAATAAGTAAGAAAAGATATTTGTAATGAAATAACTCCTTTTAACCTCATACATGTCACCAAACAATTCTATATAGAAGTACAAGGAGGGGAAGAAAACAACCTGTTATTCTAAAATATAGTAAAATTAGCATTCTTTAAAATATTCCTCATTGTATATTCACCAAACAAGTGTGAAGGTCATAAGAACTGAAATATTTTTAATTTTTGCCTTGAGCAATTCTGGAACAGTATACTATTCTTTCCAAAAACTCCAAAAAAAGTCAGCTTATAGCTGCAAGTTGAAAGAGTTAACATTTACCACATGAATTTCCCTTTCCTAGTAAAACAAGAAACTTATATTTTCAGATCTGTCTTGTGTCTGTGTATAACAACACATGCGTTATGTTATACACATGTCTGTGTATAACAACACATCTAAACCACATTTGAAAAAACTACAGGAAATAAATCTGTCCTCAATGCTACCATTAATTAGCAATTTCAGACACCAGCAAGCAATAATGGGGACATAAGTTTTAGCAGCCATCTTGAAAATACACTGTCAGTGCACAATCCAACTACTAGAAAGTGTGGTTCATATCAAGGAGGAATCCACAAGAACATTAATTTACCATCTGTAGAAGACTAAAAAAAACAACCCACACCAATCCCAAAAACAGAAGAGCTGCTAAGAAAAGAATAATCTACTGATGGGAATCAACTTTGAAACTAAGAATGTAAGTTCTTATCTTATGCGCATTCATACACAAATACAGGTATCAAGTCCTTGTCCATAAAATTACTGAATTACAAACAGCTAAGATGAGATCACACACATGTACATCAAAAATATCAACGTGATAAGAAAAACCTGAAAATCCTCATAGGACATAATTTTTAAAAACCCAACCTGCTACCAAATGCAAAGATAGCTCATTTGTAAAATTAAGAAACTGCTGAAGACACTGACTTTCTAGACTGCTACCCAATTTCCCAAGTACATCTGTACCACTGCTAATAAGATTAGACTCTGCAAAGAGCAAAACTGAAGGAATTGGATTCACAAACATAAAGTGGTAGTAAAGACTTGTATTTAATCAAGTTACAAAATAAGGCAAGCAAAAGACAAGCTTTCCAGACAAGAATCCGGTGATAAAAATCAGATAAATAAGTAGAAGTGGGTTTTCTAACAATCTAGTCATTAACAGATCTCAGAATACACAGGGCTTAAAGAAAATCGGGAGCTATCAGAAATGTCATTTCTTTGGAAAGAAAGGAACTTAATCTTCTCTTGGAAGCAGGGCTTGGTGAAAAAAAAAAATGTCCCAGCATCACCACTGATAAAAATGTTCAGCCATAAGCATAAACATGGCTACCCATTCAACATTTCAATCTGAAAACTCTGTACTACTTGCAACAAGACTCATACTAAAACTCCACATCTCACAAAACAAATTCAATGTGGCACCTTAATTACACTCTAGGAAAGGCAGATTTTAAAAATAAACCAGGAGTACTCCACTAGTTTGCATGATTATATAACCAATATACAGAAAATATAGGAAACTTGCCTAATGTAGGCAGGCAAGAGATACTCAAAGATGGTGCAGGTAGCAGAAGGCATCTAGCTAGCTGTAGCCCAACAAGACTAAAACAAGAGATCATTCTAAAGCTGTCAATGGAAAGATAATTGATCAGTTTATGGAATTTTAGGTTTGCCTCACTTACAATAAAAATAAGCAAAGAAGTCACTGTAGATGAAATTACTAACTCAGTTCAAGTAACACGACCACAAAAAAAACACAACAGAACACACAAAATCAGTTGGAGAGTAGGGATTATGTATCGAAGTGGGCAATCTACAAAGCAATGTGAATGAAGTGCTGAAAACACTAAATAAAATCTAGAAAACCAAACCACACAGACTGTAATTTAGCTACGAAATACCAGGATACAAAGTATAGTAGCATACACACAATGCTTTTGTGCCTTGAATAGAGTATCAACAACTGGAAGTAAGCCACAGAAAATTTCTGACTGAACAAAAATAGGTTTTCATGGCTTATATTATAAAGTATTGCCAGGCATTACTAATGGAATAAGTCACTGAAAGCTTATACTTGTTTAAAAGTAGAAACTTACAGCCACTGGACTATGCGCTCTCCAAAAATACTTTATATAAATATGCCAAATTCTACTAAAGTCAGCAAGAATGAGTCTGACTCTTAACAAAAGAAGGTTTAGAGAACAAAGCCTGTTCCTCACTCTACCAAATTTAAATACACCACCATTTGATATGTACACCAATTCACTGAGCCCTCACTTCAGTAATCTTGTCAACATACCACCAACTTTTGAGTAAATCCAAGATTAGCAGGTTTCACACACTGCCAACAGATAGCTAAGTCTGTTCTCACAAGCATGGTGGAGAAGAACGAAAATACATTCAGAATGGCTTTCCTAACCTAAGCCTATTTCTTCCCTACTGTTACAGAAAAAGAGTAGAAGAAAAATACACAGGTTTCGGCCTGTAATCTGGTGTACTTTTTTTGCACAACTGACAATACAATGTATCACTAGCTATTAACAGGATTTGAAAATGAAGGCAAACAGAAATATGTATGTGTATAACTTTAACCACAATGTCTTAGAACTTAGTATCCTAAAAGCAGTATTTTCTGAATTTTTCCTCAAGCTGCAAGACTAAAAATTAAACCGTAACAGATCGGTAAACTCAATAGGAACACCCAGCACAGGTAGTGCAGTGTTAAGCAAGTGTCAAATTATGTAAGCACCTAGGTAGAGAGAAACTACTCTAACTGCAACTTTCTTTTGAAAGAGAAAAGAGGACTGAAATGTCAAGCGTGAAGGGACGAACAACAGGTTCTAAGAGTGTTGAAAAACCTGTTATAATTCTCTCTGCCCCACTCTCTCCAATAAAACAGGTTAGTCAAAATTACAGTCTATGCTTTGTTTGTACCTGCATAGACTAGTTGACCATAAATACTTACAATAATCCCATTCTTTAAGAGGTCATACATGTTCATGTCACTACTGCACATGGATAAGCTCAGTCTTAATAGTCAACCAAAGACAAATTACTGAAAAGTTTGATGTATGCTGTTTTGGTGAATTTATTTCATTGTAACATCAATAAGCCACAGCATCACAGCAGTATTTTACTTATACCCACTGTGATCAACAGTTGCAGACTCTCATGCCTGATAAAACCGGTGCCAGACAAGGAGTCTGTGGGTTTGCACTTACACATTTATGCTCAGCATAGTATGAAGTTTAGTTTCAATGTTTTTACTCTACACATTTTAGCACTACCATTTTGTAGCCCCCTTTATTTTTCCCAGGAAGGAGCAAATTAAAAAAAAAAAATCTTAAAGTATACTTTCAACAGCTTCTAATTGGAAATAGGTACACACATACATACCTGTTTTCGGATATGACAACCACCATTCGGTAATTTATATGCTGCACCTCTTACTAGCAGAAATCTAAAACAATCTCTTGGGAATACTCATTTTGGAATTCTTGTTCACTGACACAAGATAATGTTATCTTCTCTAGGTATTGCAGATATTACCAAAATTTTAAAAGGGTACTTACGGTTTTCCCCCAGGAATCCCTGCTAGATTTGGAGGGATTCCAGGTACTCTCATGTGAGGAGGAGGATCAAACCCAACCTGACAACAAGAAATGAATTAGTTGCACACTTTAAATTTCTCATTCAAAGCCTTTTCTTCACCCCCAGGATATTAGGCATTTAACAAAAATGTGGCTGTTACCCACAGCATCAGATAAGTGTCCCTTCCTAGGGAGGGAAAAACTAGACGTTTTCCCTAGGCGTGCTTCTGCTACAAGTGTTCGTATGCAAATAGAAAACCAATAATATATGTCATGCATTCACATCACTGAGCGTAACACAAATACCCCCATATTAGCATCAAGCTAGTCCAGGAATTAGAGTCCATGGTGTGTCGGAATGTAGCCACGACAGCTCTCTTCAGCTCTGTGGCAGCTAGCTTGTACCCACACAGACACAGGATGGTGCGGGAAAGCAGTTTCAGGCCCCAGCTAGAATGTCTGCATGGCTCCATGCTGCACTGATGTGTGGGCACATCAGATGAGATCTCTCTCGTGGAGCTACACTGCAGGGTCCAGAAAATTTGTCTGCAGCTTAACTATACTGTGCCCTTTACATATTGCAATTCCATTAGATTTTTATAACCTAAGTATGTGCATTAAATAATCCAAACAGAAGTTCAGGACCAAATAGACTTTTTTCTTCTGAACACTATATCAGAGTTAAAATTCTTCTTGCTTTAGGGAGCATATATGATATTCAGAATTTACTTATTTTCACATAAAAGCCCTGTCTGCCAGTTTGAAAAGCATAGCCATATGCATTCTCCATATCTACAATAATGAGAAGATGACACCTTAAGTCTTGCAAGTTTACAAGAAAGTAACTTTCTCTACTCATGAAGCTCATCAAGCTCATCTACTCATCAAGCTCATGTTTGCAGAATCAGGCCTCTAGGTGATTCTGCTCAACAGCAGTTTTACCTACTATGCTCCATTTGCTTACTACAGTCTCAACAGCAACTATTCTTAACACACCTTTTCACAGAGCTCTAACATACATACCAACTAACTTCCCATTTCGATTTCCACAAAAAACAAAATAGAAGGACAGAGACACAGCTAAAAAGATTCCAACATACTTCAAGATTAACTTGGGACGCCTATACAGAACACAAATCTGGTTCAGCAATAGAAAAGCAGATGCCCACAGCTCCAACTACATACTTCGTAGCTATCAAAACTTTTTCCATTTAAAGCATAATTTTTGTAATTTATTGATTAGACTAAGAGCTGATGAAGGTGAAGAAAAAAGGAAACATACAGAAACACACCAAGATTCTTTGTTTTCAAGGTGTGAATTTCTCCAGCCACAGAGCAAAGTGAAGCACACAGTGAAACTGTCATGCCTCTGGCTCTGTTATAACTTGGGAATTTGACAGCGCTAAATGAAGCGTGTAGCTCTTCTCAGTGAATCACAACTCACACAACTGAGATTGCATGCAACGTATGGCCTACCATAGGAGATCTTCCATAGGCAACCACAGCAGCTGCAGCAGCCGCCGCACTCATCTGGGGTGACATATTGTGCAGACTGGCATAGGCTGCCCCTGGACTGGTTAACTCCCCATTCATGCCAGCATGAGGTACCATTCCAAATGGAGCAGGGTACGGTCCTGGTACTGCCAACGGTGTCCGCAGACCAGCAGCTACGGAATAATGAAACCAGGTAGGGTTTTTTTAATATATTCCTGCACACAGGGGAGAAACCAGCACTTTTTTCTCCCTGCAATACCTAACCTTCCCAAAAACATTGCCATATTTTATGAATACCACCACCCTCTTTCCATGCAGTGTAAATAAAATCTACTGAATTCTGAACTTGCTGATTACTTCTAACATTACCTATTTCCCTTTCTATAGTATTTCCCTGTTTACATTAATCTCTCCTTTGCCAAATTAAGCAGTAAAGCTGACAGGCATGGTTTACACAGCTCATGTCTGAAGCAACTATGCTGTACCAGCCTGAATAGCAAAAGTAAACTTCCCCCTGCATTTGTCAAGATTTACACTGCAGCAAATATTAGTAGACTCAGACAAAGGCTGGAGAAGAGATTGCATTCAGAGTAAGTACCAGAAACTTCTCAGAAGTCTTTTATATTGCATTCAGTCTCTGGACTGTTTGCAAAAAAGATAAAGACAAAAGTAAAGAGAGAAGGATAAGAGATTGAAAGATATTCAAATTCTTGATAATCCAAACATCTGCTTCTCATCAAGCCCTCTCTTGATATCAAGAACAAAGCAATACATTTAGTTAACATTTGCACAGAACTACATATGTTAAAAAAAAAAAAAGATTGATTTTGGAACCGTAAAAACAGGTGAGGTAATGCATTACCAGCTTGGTTAACCAGAGGGTCCATTGTTGGAGGCTTGCCAAGGCCTGGACGAAGTCCTGGCGTTGCACTAGTGCCTGGGGTTGGCACATCACTTCGAGGAGTTGGTGTGTTGGATTTCAGAACAGGCGTGCTGGCTTTGTCATGCTGGTATCATTAAACAAATTAAATGAGTATTATTTTTAATCCAGGCCATATTATACAATTTATCACAACAGCAGCTGGGATGCTGGGCACCTATTACCTAGTCCCTCAGCCAATTTTCATAAATCCATGCAATGCTGACAACATTAACTTGTGAGAGAGAAATGCTGACCTTTTTGATTACTGCCAAAATTAAAATGAGGAAAGAAACGTAGAAAGTTATTTTTCCTTCTTCCATTGGCATGGAAAAAAATACTAGAGCTATTCTTTTTTTTTCAGGACAATGTACTTTGCCTCATCAAATTATTTTACCTTGAAAACGTAACTGTCTCAATTATTATTGGACACAGAAAATCTAAATACTAAATTCAAATACTATGAAACTTACAAATAATCTGTTCAAATTATTACTGATGCTTCAGGAAAAGTATTCAAAGAGTAAAGGCTTTTTTAAGAGAGTTTTACAAAAGCCTGAAGAACTCCTTAGTGACTATACACAGACTATGTTAAACCATAAGCTATTGGAGAAAAAAAAAATAATGCTTAAGCGACTCTTGTACTTTGTAATAAATTTGCAATTCATTTGACAGAAGTGTAAGAAAAAATAAAAACGAAGCAGAAAATACTGGTAAGGAGGAAAGCTGAATAATACTATAAAGGTCTGGTAAAATGGTAGTCTATTTCAGCTTCAAATGTTTAAAGCCATGTACTTTCTGCTACATGCAGTTACAGGAGAATGAACAGTTACAGTTAGATTTTACAAGACAGAAGAATATTTATCTGGACAACTGACTGCTACCCACCAGACTCATTTCTTTGGATTTGAGGGAAGCAGAACTTCCTGACGAGGCCGTAGATGCTGGACTGCTAGAGGCATCTTTCTTCAGCAGGCGGGTTTTATCTATACCGTTTTCACGTGGCGAATGACTCGGACTTGCCCTTGGGGAAGAAGGGTCCTAAAGCAATGGGATGGGAAGAACAGCACAGAACCCTGTCATGGGCTGGTACACAAACACCATGAAGGAGGCTATGAGGAAAAAAACTAGAACAATGTAAGCAGTAATTTCAAGTGACAAGGCATTTCATTACTTCTATAGAAAAAAACCCTGATATCTTAATCACTTTAGAGACATAAGTTCATATAGTAAGCAATCTGATTTTATTTTACACTACATGTAATCATAAACTGTTTCCAAGCATAGAGGTGGCTATCTAAGGATACCCAAGTATAAACTGAGGCAAGTGGGCACAATACTGAGAAGAGCAAGACCAACAGTAACTGCAGTTAAGTTTACGCTGTTTCTTCCTTGTGCATTCTCCAAGCGCTGCTTAGTGGCAACAAACACTTCAAATCTCTTTTAGGCCATACAAGCCTTGCTTGTCTCTGTCATCAGAAGAAAAGATAAAGACACATGCTTTACATGGCATAATATCTCTTACTGCTTTCTAAATACCATCTGCAATTGCCTCACTACTTAAACCTACAGGAAAAACTGAAATCACCTCTCAGGTGATTATCTTTTCTCTTCCAGAGGCACTCTCTGCATTTACTTTAACCTGAAAGAGGCAGCCCAGCAAGCTACAATGCCATCAGAGCTCTGCAGGTTCTCCATGCTCCTTTGGCTAGTGAGGGTAGCAGCAGGGAGGAAGCAGTCCTCACAAGAGGGCATTAAGTTTGCTGATTGATTACTGAGCACTTTCATTGTAAGTAGGGTTTCTGAAAGGATTACTAAAACCCGTGGTTAGACACCCATTTTTCTACTTGGCTGACATCATTTGGGCACTTTGAGCTGCTGAAGAAACCTCTCCCGTCAGCTTCTCTCCCTGTGCTTTTCACAGAGCAGGACGACCTCACTACCATATTCGAGCTTCCTAAATCTCTTTGTTAAATGAAATAAAAGACAAATAAAAGGGAAGGCCTATCCCTTCACCTTAATGCCACTGCCAAATCTCTGCCCTGGAGAAAAAAGATGGCTACGACCTCTGGAAAATTTTGTGAACCGAGTGACTTTATTCTAAAAAACAAGCATTTCTAGAAAATGCTGTCCTTAACATAGCCATTAAAATGCTAGTAATTTTTAATGTACCAAAAATGTTTTTAATAGTTTTCTTAAATACAAGCTTAGGTAGTCTTCTGTGTTCACTTGAAGACAGTAGTTTGAACACCACAACCCTACCATCATCACACCACAACACTCCACTACAGGGCAGCTGTGAAACGTCAGAATGTAAATGCAGAGGGAACAGACCTGGACAAAGAAGTAGAAGGAAAAGGCCAAGAGGGCAGTCAGATAAAGCTCAGAGGGAGACCTAGTAACTGCAGTACAAACGAAAAGGAGTAGTTGTGAATATTTTAATATATCCACACAGAGGATAACACCTAAATGCACTTTTCTTTTAACCTTTGGGCAAATATTAAGACTACAAAAATGAAAAAAATGTTACCTCATTGGATACATCTACAACCAAGTTATCGTCACTCTTGTCACCATCACTGTCCTATTAAAAATAAATAAATATAGTGTTCATTTCAATTAGTACGTTATGAGTGCAGAGAGAAAGACGACGCATCTACTCATTCTTTTGGCTTTCCTAAACAAAAAGCAAACAGCCTTTCATTAACTTATTAGCAATAGAGAAATCGATGAAAACACACACACAACACTTTATTTCTGCTTTCATAATAAAACCCAAATAAGGTAGAACTAGTTGAATGATAGTATTCTCACATCAGTGCAAGATGGTCAAAAACCATTAACATTGCCACTACTCCTAAAAAAGAAACTCATTCTGTTCATATGCTAATCTTAAGTGTTAATCTTATGGAAATTACTGCTTGTGCATACCTAAAAAAACCCCCCACCCTGTCTCAGAAAAGTGGAGCTTTTTTGCATTTGTTTGATGAATTAACTTCCTCAAAGTGATAAGACAATTTTTCTCCTTTTCCAGAAAGGAAAGTTTTGAAATGGAAAGTTCTGGGAAAGAAAAAGCTTCCGCAATGCCAAGACATTTCAGTGTTTCTGTCTAACAAAACAAAAATACTTTGACATTCCTGAACGGAAATAGTTTTATTGTGGCTTGTCAAGCTGCATTTTGACTGTTTCACATAAATCTGTGTTCACCTCAGCTGCTCTAGTGCTTCACCATAGCTGTTACTCAAGTGCCTCCTGGTCCCTGTCTAAAAAGTCCCAGTAGACATTTTCTGATACACACGGTCTAGTGATTTCCACAGTCCACCATGGTGGTTCAACCAGAAGGCGAGTCTTAACTCAAAAACAAATAAATAGATGCACCCACGAAACTCACCCCCAAAAAGAAAAGAAAAATCAATTGAATGATAAAGCTTAAATTTTTTGTGTGAGCAAGTTTGACATTTCTAATAACAATATTTCTAGTTAAAAAGTTTCTAGGCAAACGAATCAGACACACAAAATTGCTCAAACTGTCCTCCATCTCTTGCTTTCAAGAGATCACTTCTGTTTTCACACTTAACATGGGCAGACAAAGTAAAACATCAGTTCCTTCCTCTCACTTCAGGCCATAAATGTTTGAAAAAAACACAAACCCCAAAAACCCAACAGATAGGAAGGAAGGGTTGAAACTGCTTTAGTAGCTGGATATTGCTCCAAGAAATACCACAAACAGATTAGGGACCCACAAGTGCCAGTGAAGATGGAATGGTGGCTTTATTTGATACTCAGGAAGCTGTCCAACCAAAGGGTGCAAAAGGAAAAAGAAGAGGAAAGCTTCAGTCCCAGTTATCTGCCACCTCTGAAAAAGTATGAAGCACCAAGAAGGCAGGAATAGGACAGAACAAAGTTGAGAATGCAGTAGGTGGGACACTTGCTGACCAGGAATAGTCCCCCTGAGGAGGGAAAAAATTATTGCCAAGCAACAATTAAGTGCACTCCACTGGCTTTGGTATCTTGAATAATAGAAATTTACTGGGACTATCAAAGACATCTCCTATAGGTACCACTATTAATATCAGAAGATTCTCCTCATTAACAAACCCATAGGTTGAAACCATACAGGTTGTAACATGAAAATCTGCCAGAAGTCAAAACTAAAACTAATTTTAAAAAAGGAAATTTTTTCATCTTATTTCCAAAACCAAGAATTTCTACAACTCATTTATCTCCCTTCTGACAAAAGCAGTATTTCCTTTTCCTTATCAAGGCCTCAACCAAAGTGAGCTTGAAATCAGCAGCTCTGTGGTTGCAGAATCAGGGAACCTATAAAAATAAAGTTGTTCTTCCATATTAGAATGAATTTAGAACTTTAAAATATCCTTGCTTTGCTCAATTCTTTATTTTGATGCTGCCCTTATCTGCAAAATCCATTTCAAGCAAACAGCACCACACTTTCAAAATGTGGATTAAATCAATCTGCTTCTACAGTGCAATTATATACTTTCTTGTATTTCTGCTGGAAAGAAATTGAAAAGCAAGTAAGTTGAGCTTTTTCTTCCTTTTGTTTTTATATCAAATGTAGCTTAAGAATGCTTAATTTCAAATATTTAAAATTAAAGTTGCCCATAGAATATTAAACCCTCAAAGTTGAGGGAGTAACATGGCAAAGTTTGACAAACCTTCCTGTAATCAACATAAGGTTATTAGAAAGCAGTGGAAATACAACTTGCAAAACCGTAACAGTACTGCAATACCACAATGTGCAGAAATGGAAAAGTAACCCCATCTACTGTCAGTAGCTCCAGGGATATCCAACAGGCACTCAGATATTCTGGGTCCAAGTGGAGAGAAATTAACCCAAAAGACATTGAGGAAACAAAGCGGCAGCTGACGTTCTCTTGTGTTTCCCTAACGAGGAATTATTTAGTGACTGGATTCATATGAACCAGTCAATTTCCCACATTACTGCTATGTCAAAGAATATCATCTTCTGTTGGATTTCAGTTCTGCTTTTCATACTTCACACCTGTCCTAGTCTCTGAAGTCTGAGTATCATCCCAGGATTTGGCTAAGCATTTAGGCTTGAAATTGAAAGCCTAGTTAAACCTTTTTGTGGTTCACATACACCACATGGTTGTACTGAAATCCCTCTCCAAAACCAAACTAGTCAAAAATGCAGAACACAAACTGAACATTTTATATTCAAATTTGCTTACTGCCACATTAACCAAAAGCAAACTTCAGTAAGTTGGTACAGCCTCTTAACATATGCAATTTGCAAAGGTAATTCTTACTCAGTGTGGTAATAGGTAGTATCAGAAAAATTTACTAACACTGATCAATAAAATCCTCCATGTCAAACAAACCTGCAAGTTTTAGAGCAGCTCAGAAAGGATCTCCTGCTAAATCCTGAGAAATATCCTGGAGCTACCCAGCCATGCAAAACACATTCCCTTGTTCTTCACAGCTCTTTTACTCCTCATACGAGTATATTATGTGCAAATAAATTAATCATTTCTTTGACACAGATCTGCTTACATAGTGGCTGGAATCCTTATCATCCACCTTTCTCTTTTTGATGTCATTGGTATATTCAGGGCCATTCCTGCGTTTATCTGTGCTTCGCAGACTGTCCGGGACCAACAAAGAATTACTCTGTGAAGGCAGAAAACAAGGTCAATAAAAATTCCTTTCAGGATACCTTCATATATGCTTAAAAGAAAAAATCAAATTGGATGTGATAGATGTTTTAGAAATGTGATACCTACATAGTCTTTCATTCCATTTAATTCAAGTCAAAGTCCTCCAGGCAACATGTACAGCTTTACACATTCTAAGCAGCCTGGCTTTCATTGTTCAACTTATCGAAAGTTTAATTCACTTGTCAGTCACCATCTATTTAACTAATTAATTCAACTGAATTTGTTGTTGAGGAGAAGCAGGATTGCTGTTTATTCATGAGCAGTTAACAATTATTTTTTTAATATACATATCCCATATATTAGAAAATATTTAATAGATTGGCTGGTTGACTGCTCACTTCTAGACCATCATAAATAGATGAGACTTCGGTATGTCTACACCTGAGGCATAGATAGATGTAGGGTAAATTGCCTTTAACTGTTAAAATAACAAATATTTACCAGATAAGGTTATGCAGTAATTATTTGTTAGCTGCAGTAAGCTCCAATTGGATGTCTTCAACAAATGTATTGCAAACAGAGATCAAATATTTTTACTTCTAGCAAAACATTCACTACTAGTGTGAAACTAAGGCTAAAGCATTGTTTAATCAGACTTGATCTGAGAAACTGCGGCCAACACACACAGACAAGACAAAAGCAGAGACTAATCTTTTCCTCAAACTACACCCACTGCTTTCATTCATGCTAAGTTATGCTAAGTACAAACTGTTGACCCAAAGAGAAAAGCATTTTAGACATTTTTCAGTCACATGACAATTTGACATGCCTGCGATTCCCATCTCCTTCTCCATTCCAGCTAAAGCATTAAAACGTGTTACAATGAGTTCTTTTAAGTGCAGGATTAGCATATGCAAGAGGGCAATTTGTTCAGTGATGTGTTAATGCTGTGAACAATACTGAATGAGTTGAGGGGGGGATTCGCAAAGACCTGGTAAGCCTAGTTCCTAAAAGGCAAGTGCATGCTTATATAAATAAATACATGCTCACATAAATATATATGTCATTACATGCATATATGCATCTCGACAGAAAAGCCTAATACCAACATACATAATATGATCTAAGTGTAAGCCCTCAAGGGAAATATTTACACATCGACCCAAAAGCCAGAGATACTTACTCTGAATATATCATAAACATAAAATAATAGCCAGTGAACTGTGCACTGAACGGCTTCCCTTTTAAAACCTGAGGACACCACGGTAGTTTTGCTCAGACATTAAACGTTCAGTCCCAAGGAGACGGAGAACAAAACAGGGTACATAAGGTAATCTGAATCCTCTTTTTCCTACTTCAGAAGCTGCGCTTTAAAGCCAACTCTAAGCTCTTTTATTCATGACTATTCAAGCTAAACAAATGCCAAGAGGCTTACATAAAGCATATAGGAGGGTCTAATGAAATTCAGTATAAAGAAGCTCAAAATAATGTCTTTACTTCAGTGTTTTGCAGCTAAAAGGTGGGCTTGTTGGATCACTGAACTAATTGCCTTGACAAATACAGTCTGAATTTAACCCCTCATCTCCACACAGATGCACAAAGACTCAGGGTTTCACAAGTCTGAAAAACATTAAAACCCATCTTCAACATTTTAATATCGAATCATCATGCCTGTAGCATTTTAAGAAGCAAGCTGTCAATTCAAACTTGACCACGGATTTGAGTACTGCAAATGTCTTCTTAAGGAGCAAAGCCTTTTAGTTCAGATACATCCCCTAACAAAAAATAATTTAAAACCCTATTTTACTACTGAAATGTTCAGAATAAAATAATAAAGGCAAATTCAGTACAGTGAATAAACTCAGTTTCTCATTTTAAATTAGGAAGACTAAGGATGAATAACAGAAAGGTGGCACAGGAGCAGCAGCTGGGAAAAAATTAGCAGCCCTGTTATTTGAAGTTACTACATGGAAATGTAGGAAACAGACTGCACATTTTGGCATCAAATACATGTAACTACAACAGCTGGGATTTTTTTCTGGTTTACTGTAAAGTCTACCTAGACGATGCTAACAATATTCTGTATGGTTTGTTCTGTCGAATTTCAATACTGTGGACATACCTAGGAGTTCCTGTGCATACCTATCTCCCACAGTCTCCCAAATCCTAAACAAAGATTATTTGAATTTTCCTCGAAAGACTGATGGCTTACCAGATAAACATCTAACAAAATCTGCAGTCTTCACAAGCCTATTCTGCAAAACATCTCTCTTGTGGTCATATTTGCCCTGCCTTCCTCTAACTTACCACACTCACTTAAAGCACTATTCTCTGGAATCAGAGCACCCACACTAGAAGCTGTTGTAGAGCAGCTTATTTCACAGTAGCAATACTGACAGTTGCAAATAAGATCGTGACACTACTCTGGCAAAATTTGCTTGTGAACTCAATGAAATGTTACTGGGGTTTTTCCTTAAGGGCACTCTAACAACTATGACTTAAATCAGAAAAAGTATAACTTTTGATGAAAAAATAACTTGCTGCTGTAACCTACTACCAAAACTCAAGCCACCAATTGTGTAAGTTTTCATTCAACTACATGAAAATATGCATCTTTTCAAAGTAGTGCATATGCCAGATCTAGACCACTAAAGAAACAAAGGAAATAAATGAAAACATAAACAAGAACTGGGAAAGAGATGACCATACAAGCCTTGGGCTACTGACAACTCTTACTGATGTAAAGTTATGGCTCAGTGAACAGTGAGAATTCTCCTTATCTTCTCTTTAAACAAAATAATCTGTTCAGTTCTTGTACCAGGCTTACATCTGATGTATTTTCAAATGTAGCACAGGCATTTTTATTTTACCTATTAAGTTTATATAATTTTTAAATAATGCTACAGAAATTTTCATTTGGGATTGATTTTCAAGAACAATCTGTTTGTACAAAAGGGGCAAAAATATATATATACATGCAGAGTTGGTTTCCTAAAAAGAAAACTGCATAAACACCAGATCTTGTTTTGTCTTAATTTCAAGGGACTAGACATGTAATTGAGGATAATCCTTGCTTTCATACTAGGGGTTCAATGTATTTGGGATGACCAATGCAACATATGTAAATCACAAAACTCAGATCAGGACAAATGGTCAAAATCAGAGGGGTTTTTTCCCCTATAATTTAAAATTTATTCACATTAATCGCTTTTCTTCAAGTAGGTCCCAAAGCAAGAAAAAAAAACACCCTAATATAGCACTGCCTCCTGTCAAGAGTTACCAGACTGCACAAGGAGTGTGTAATAGCCAACTTGGGATCCTAAAGCAACTTTGCTGCCAGCAAAAGTTAAACTCAAACCACCAGCAGCAAATGCGAAACGAAAGCCTACTCATGATGCACCAAGAGAAGGCAGGCTCTCTATCAGGAATGTAATGCACATTATTCAAATGCGTTTCTTTGACTGACATGGTGTTGCCAGTAGGAACTACTTCCAAACCACAAGCATGTGTGGCCAGAGGTACAGGCTGAGAGCCCACAGCATCTCATTTAGTCCCAGATGCAATACAGCACAGACAACTCACTGGAACATACAGAACTGGCAACCAACTTTATGCTGATCATTCCAGCAGTTAAATAACATTATTTCCATCACATATGTGCTCATGGTTCAGCTACACCTGGTCCCAATTAAGACCTTCTCAAGTGCTGGGCTCCTTAAAGCTCCCACTCCTCTTTCCCCCAAAGACACACTCACACACTTGGTCTGTGCCTGGCCACTCACCGCCCTGCTGTACATCCAAACCAGCAACACCCACCTGCCATTACTTCTGTTAACGTGTGCTTGCCCAGGTCACCAACCAGGGATGCTGTGCTTATTTAACCACTACAGTGGACCTGTGCCCCTGCACCGCACACAAATGCTACCTACAGGTGTGGACAAGAACAAATGCAATCCCTTGTTGAGCAGGCAAAACAGGATCAAGTCTACAGAACTACAACCAAAGCACCAGTTGATCAGCACTCCCACTGCTCATCGTCAGGACAAACTAATAATATAATGGATACTGGAAGAGGGACTAGCACTTAACCATTCCCCAGCAATGCACAAGAAGATTCCATTCAAAGTTACTCAAGAATCTTTAACTTCCATTTGTTGAATTCGCTTCTTGCAAACACATGTCAACCGGCTACAATTCAGCAGGTTGTTTTAAATTACTGGTAAGGGAAAGCTACTGACTTCACCCTATTTTTGACCATCATTTTAAGTTATATTTAGACTAGTATGTGCATATTAGCAACAAGGAACTCCAGAAGCCTAAATGGATTTGAATCACTTCTCCACGCTGCCCTCTGATTACTGAATCATTAACAGAGAATGAAGCTTCTGATGATTTTACTATTTTTCTAGCTAATGTTTGTCAGAATCAGGGTATCCATAAAAATTTATACCAGATTACCCCAATCCTTCTGTCCTTTGTCATCAGCCTCACGCTGATTTGTATCAGCTACAAACCAAACTGCAATGCAGCATCCCACAGCTCTTCTGTGTGAGCAACTTGGATGGTTTGCATTCCTTAAGACGGTAAGAATTTACTTTTATTTTTATTGACCCTTTTAACTTAAAAATAAGATAACTTAAAGAAATTCAAAGTTTTTTGATTACAAGCCATATAATGGAAAATAATACTTTCTTCACAAAGGCCAAGAAGCATACATGCACTATACTGAAGAGTTCCCTACATTTTCACATAACTCCTATTATGATCCTCCCCTCCCCCCACACCCTGAGAGAATTAAAACAGAAACAGCTTGCATATAGTAACAAAACCCAAAAAAGTAGCATTCAATTGTGCATACCCCTTTCTCCAAGACTGGGAGGGGAAGAATAGGACAGAGAGCTATGACACAATATTTTTCTGCTGTAAAAAAAGAGCATTTGCTTTACAAAACAATAGCAACATTAATGCTTAACAAAGAGGCAAAAAAAATTCTTGGAATATTTATGAGTATTTCCTAAGCCTTAGAAAACAAGATCAATGTTTTTCATGAGCACAAAAGACAAACACCAACCTTACTGTAAATCCAAGCACATAATGAAGTCAGATTTCACTGTCTACAAATTATTAATGATACTATAAAATGCTGCAGAACATTTGCGTTTCTACGCTGTCCAAACAGGATACTAGAACAGTGGGAAGACAAGTGAAAAATGAACACCTAAGACAAGTTTGAAAAATGTTGCCAGTATGTTCCCTAGAGGGGGGAAAAAAAAAAAAACAAACCCCATGTGGACAAAGTTCTTTCATATTGATGTCTCCCAAAACTTAATAAAGTTTCAATTGCAAAATTTGCTTACTTTGCCTGGCTTCACTACCCACACCCAAACTGTGTCACAATAGTAGAGATACCTGCATTCCCACAATAACATGACTCAGTTTGGGATGGTTAGCCCTACATCAGCCAAAACCCACATGCCGTTATCCATGTAGTCCTAAAATTTAATTTTGGCCAAATAACTTTAGCGTATTGTGTATGAAGTATACTCTTACTACTAACTCAAATGTTACCTATTTCACAAACATGCATTTAGAAACAACTCCCTTTCATTTTACTTCCTGAAACTTTACGCAATATAAAAACAAAAATGCAGCCCTTGCCTTTCAGGCATAGCAAAAGTAGGTAAAATGGACACTGATCACAATCAAGAATAATGAAATCAGAAATCTCACTGAATTATGAAGTTTAGAAAACTTCATAAACATAAATACATAAGAGCTTGCGACTGTTTATTTGCTTAAGAAGACTTTAAAAAAATAAAAACAGTTGTCCTTTAAAAATTAATATGCTCAGATAATATGCCACATAAATATGCTTTAACTCAATGTTAGATTAAAAAAAATCTATTTATGACTGAACAGGCAAGGGACAAATTGTAAGCTTTGAAACTTGCACATTTAAAGCTGTCAGTTTATACTGATGATACTGGAAGGTCACACTAGACATACTCGATGGACATCATACTGTAGAACTGCATGGTTGTACAAAATATCACAGTTAATTTAGGTAACTAACAGACAGCACAGGTTTTGGTGACTTGGATGATGAAAGCAATCCTTTACACTTAAAATGTTACTGAAAACCAAATTGATCTTATCTTGGTGACCCAGATTTAATAAAGTAATTTGCAAAATAAGAGCCTGCTGCTTAGTTGGAATATGTAATAAACAGGCCTGCTGGTGTGGTTTGCATAGTCAAGACCAATTTTATATTATCCTTAAAAATAGATTTTAAATTAAATTTATTAAAAATAAAAGAGAACTAGAGAATTTTAAAGAGCAAATCATTCCCAGCTGATCATTTTAGCCACAGATTTGAACTTCACTTACTTGAATTCTTTCACTGAAGACATGTATTATTTACTGTTTAGGCAAGATTCTAATGCAACACTGTTTTTAAACAATTCTAAATTCAAGTTTAAGCTCACCTGGATTTAACTATTAAAGTTAATTTTAATTTTGAAGTATTATTCTCCACTGGGACCAAAATGCAGCTGTGACCACCAGAGTGCAGTAACCTGTGCTCAGTATACCCATACAGCAAAATTTTCATGAAATAAAGCCTCAGATTGTTTAAAGGTTACCTAGTGGCAAGCCCAGCATAAAACAACCTACTACAGATAATAAAGAAGCCATCATGAGTGACATACGGAGAGAGAAGTAACTGCAGCAATTTTATGTATTTTCATTAAATAAAATTGACATGTGGTAAACTAAGCACATGTCGCTGCAAATTTCCCACAACACAAAAGCCGGGTTTAATTTTTGAACAGTTGTCCTTCAACAGGCAATACCTATTCTCAGCTACAAGATTAATTCAGAGTCCAAATTTCACACCATGGTGAAGCATCTGATTTTAAACTCAAAAACAATTTAGCAAAGTACATGACTGACAAGGCAGAGGAGGATAGGAAGAGAGCAAGGACAGGAAACATAGCAACCAAAGCAAAACACAAAACCGTCACTCCCACATGTGCACACAAACATACACACTGCAAATCTCCTCCCTTAGATCCTAAGAAAAGTTTTTGAGAATCCTAGACTTAACCATCATCACTCAAAGGAATTCATCCCACTCAAAGAAATACGTCCTTAGTAAAGCTGAGGCATCAGGAAAACCCAGCTTAAAATCATGTCCACAGTTACACCATCATTAATAACAGTAAGCAACCTGAAATGAAAGCTTCTTGCTTAGTAATCTAGAAACAAAAGACTGCTGCAAAAAGATATGCGGCTAGTTTCCAAAAAAATAATTGTCAAGCCCTGGTATAAAAAAAAAATTAATATAGCAATGTAATTCAAAACACAACAGTATGAAAAGCTGTAACAAAGTAGTCCTTTGGCTGGATTTAGGATTAGAGTGTCTTAGACCAATTCTATTACAGTTATATCTAAAGGGGATAAAAAGTACTGCTATGAAATTATACCTGGACCACATATTAAGCAGTAAAGACATTAGTATAGCTTAAACAGATTCAGTTAAAGGAACTACTAGGGCCAAACACCGTCATGACATTTTAAACGTCTCACCTGTTCTGCAACTCTAATTCCTGAAAATCCAATAGGAAAAAAATCTTAACTCTAACTACTATTGTTATACTCAATGTTCGGTTTGATTTGCAGTTTCTCTCCCACCCCCAATAAGCAAGCTAAAGTTCAAGTTTCCTCAAAATCATCCTGCTCAGAAACAAACCTGATTCATAGTCCTCCAGACAAATGACTATGTTCTGCATAAACCAAGATGTATCTTAATAGAACACACATATGCCTACTATCATGAAACAGACGAAAAGGAAGACAAAACAGACACACAGCGCAACATCTGATTATTACATTACGTAGAAGTG